CCCCAACACCCGCCCAATGACCTAGCTCGTCTCCAGACTCACCGCACTCACTCTTCCCTTTCATCTCACGCTCGTGTCTTTGTCAGATCCATACTTTGATTGTCAATCTCCCTTATGGCGAATTACAAAGAATGTCATAGGTTGGCATCAGTACCCGTAAGTTCCCTCTCTCGACCCCCCCCCACCATGAAAGTTAATAAGTGACACCTGTACCATCAGTCTTGTGGTATATACTATGAATTATTGGTACACTCACAATAATCCTGTATTTTGGTTATAAAATTACAGAAGTGCATGTGCAGCGACCTCATAACTGTCTCTCATCACCAGCCCAACGCATCACAACCAACGGTCGTACAATAATGGATGCTACCTGGATTAATCAATGCCTGCTGTCTGTATGACACGGCCATCTATATGTAAGCCATTGGTGTTCTTTTATTCACACAATTTGGCATAGGACCTAAAGCAAAGATATGTCTATATCAATATCAAACCGAACTTAAAATATTTCAATATTTTGAAATAAGATTATCTGCCTTTACATATCAATATAAATGTCTTATTGGTCCACTTTCTGGCAATAATTTATAACTTCTTAAAAACTATATACTTTTACAGATTAACTATATGAGTATATTTATAATTTTTTGCTACAAGGATATAACCATAACACTTCAGCCCAGCTTAGGCCCCACTTAGCTTAGCTCATAGGGTCTATCGTCCCCAGGGTACTACCCCCCGGCAACGGTACACCCGCGTGTAAGCCTATCCCTCCTCATCATCGGTGTACGCCGCGTTAGGTCTCACTCCGCGCGTTCCGCCCTTACGGGCTCTCCGCGCCCCGAGCTAGGCGTAGGCCCACTCCTAGCTCGTGTATGTCGGCACGTAGCCCCGAGGCCTACCGCCGTCCGCGCGCACTATCTAGACCTAGTCCCCCAGGGTACGGTCCCGGTCAGTCACCCCCCCCTGGCCGGCGACACTGAGACCCCGCCCCTCAGCGTTAGCCACCCTCTACACGCTCCGTTAGGTGTTTCACTGTCCCCCCTGACCCTCGTTTGACCCTGGCTCCGTCTTAGGCACTATTTCTGACTCAACCCTACCCCCTACACCCCGCTATAAACTATATATACCTCACATCTATCCTATACCATCACCCCTCACCCCATATACCCCTCACCCTACCTCACCTCACACTATATACCTACCCTATACCCTACCTATATATTCCCATATACTATACGACTACGGTCACGAATACTATAACTGCTTCATAATACCTCATCCAGACCTAGCTAAACGAGCCAGGTCAAACAGCAAGGTCAGGGACCCCGCCCCCACCCACCCCCCCCCCGCCACCCACCACCGCCCCCCCCTTTCCCTCCCCCTCCCCCCGCCCCCCCCCCCCGACCCCCCCACCACCACCGCCGGGCCGCGCGGGAATTGCCAGCCGCGCCACCCACGCACACCCCCCCCCGCCCACCACCAGCCACCCCCCACCCACAACGCACGCCCGCCCCCCCCCCGGGGGCGCGCGCCCCACCCCCACGCCCCGCCGACCAGCCGACCCCAGCAGGCGCGGGCCGGGCGGCACCCCCACCCCGCATCCCGTCCGCAGCCGCACAGGCCGCGAACCGCCCCCACACCGCGCGGCCGTCCTGAGCAGCCGCCGGGCTGCCCCGACGATAGCCGCCCCCCCCCCCGCAGCCCCCCCCGCCTACCGGACGCGCCCACCCGAAACAGGCCCGCACGACGCACGGAACACCCCCGCATGCGGCCCCGCCCCGCCACCCGACCCCCCCCCCCGCCCCCCCCCCCCCCCCCCCCCCCCCCCCCGCCCACCAGCCCACCCGCAACAACCCGGCCCACACCGCCCTCCAACGACCGCGGCCACTACGGAACCCCCAACAGTGCCCCCCGCCCGCGCATCTCCGGCGCTCCCCGCGGACCCCGTCTCTCACCACGCCGAAATGCTCCCCCCGATCCCGATAGAACTCGCCAGCTCCCTCGTCCGTTTTTCTAGTAGGGTGGTTTGTGTGTGCAGTGCGTGCGTGCAGTGACGCGTGCGTGCTGCTGCGGTGCGTGGCGCGGTGTCGCGTGCGTCCGCCGCTGCCGCGTGCGTGCCCGGGTGGGGGGGGGCACGGAGGGGGGCGACGCGGGCACGCACAGGCGCTCTGCCGCGCTCGGCGACTTCTGGGTGCACAGTGCCTGCATCGCGCGACTGCGGTCACGCCGCTATCGCGCTCAGCTGTGGCATCGGCTATCGCATGTGTGCGTGTAGTGTGTGTGTGTCAGATCGCTACGTGCACTGCCCACCGGGTGATACTGAACTAGTGTGCGTCGCATCGGTGCGTAGTCGCGACACAAGAGAAGAGCAAAGGAAGCAAAATAATAAATATGCATGAAAAAAGATTTCAGGTTTGCCAAATAAAAATTGACACATTCTATTATTTAATATATCTATAAACTTCTATCCGCATCGGTGTTGGTGTGTTTATACTTTCCTAATTCATATACTATATAATACTCCTAATATACTATCCCCGAGACTATACATAGGCCTACTCTCGCTATACTCTGAACGCTCTCTCTCTCTCTCTCTCTCTCTCTCTCTCTCTCTTCTCTCTCTTCTCTCTCTCTCTCTCTTCTCTCTCTCTCTCTTCTCTTCTCTCTCTCTCTCTCTCCCTCTCTCTCTCTCTCTCTCGCTCTCTCTCTTCTCTCTTTTCTCTCTCTCTCTCTATCTCTCTCTCTCTCTCTCTCTCTCTCTCTCCTTTCTCTCTCTCTCCTCTCCTCTGTCTCTCTCTCTCTCTATCTCTCTCTCTCTCTCGCTCTCTCTTTACGTTTAACGCGCGAGTTTCAGGGCTGTATATCCTGTAGCGTAGCTCATGCGAGATACGACCATGTATTGTACTCTAGACTGTAGTGTCAACTAGTGTAATAATATCAGGAGTGCATAATAATAGATTCACTCCTGATAATATAGACGCTGGATGATATATTAGACAATGATTAAGACACCTAGCATACAGTATAAGGCGGTCCTGGGACAGCCCATGCTGACAATGGCCTTATTAATGCGTAAGCTACTTGTTCTGTAGCATTAGGGGGCCCGTATGCAAATCTATTGTCGGCATGGGGAGCCGAGACTCAAAAGTTAATTAATTCAGGCGTTGTTTCACGGCCGTAGACAATTCACATTTCACCGATCTTTGTAGCTTAGAAAATTAATTCTTCATTGTCAGTGGAACTTATCATGTTAAATTAAGAAAATTTCTTCGATGTTCATTGTGCATGCGACTCGCGACAAGGACGTTTATACGTCCTTTTTTTTATTGAAGAAAGTTTATGACGAGGTATTTATATCTCATATAAACTTTCAGAGCGTTGCCCTATAAGAGATGGCGCCACTTTCTGGTGTTAATGTGGTAGGTGATTAGAACACACGTGTTTGTTACATGTCTTTGTAAGAGCAGGTATCTTAGTTTATTAACACAATTTATTATGGGACAGGGACGTATAGCCTCTGGGAGCAAAGAGGGCAAAATAAAAAAACATTGTAAGAAATACAAACATAAATTTAATAAAAAATGGAACCAAATTACTATTTACAAACATAAGTACAATAAATTACGTACAAAGTACGTTGCTGACGGATATAGGGCCTACCGTTATTATATATTTATACGTTCTATACGTTTTATATTTTATACTTTATTACCACGGTATATATATATATCCGGTTTTGACGGATGTAATATTGACATACGAATTAAGCCTTTTCCCAGATTCTATAACTTGCCTAATACGTAGCATAGATTACCTTTGTGCGCGCATACCTTATATTTGCTAAGAGCAATGATATTTTCTTGAAATTACTTGAAATTGAGAGAAGTGTGTCTTGAGTAGTTTGACGCAAAACGTTCGATTCTAACGCCTTACTTTACTACCAAACCGCTTATAATATATACTCATATAATGCATTATAGGCTCTCTGCTGATGCCACTATGATTTTTTATGCTTTAGTTTTTGATAATTATCTAGCTGTACGGGGGCTGTATGTTCTAATTGCACTCGCATTTGTGTTTTTTGTTAAATAGCCAACTCTTTGATAATTATCTAAACAAACAATCAACTAATCAAAAATGTACCTTAGCTGTGGCTACGGGCCAGGCTCTAAATAACTAGTAGCAATTTTCCATTTACAACGTGTAGATACAGGGTAAAGGTCTATCATAAAGGTCTAATATTAATAAAACATCGATATTCTATAGGATATCAGGAGTGATTAAACATTATTTTTACTCACTGCGCGCCGAGGTTATAATGTGGAATAATGTATACCGTTTTACGCCGTTGGTCGGCGCTAGTATCGCTCGTGAACTGTTTGTAGCAGAGTAAGTCATATATGCTAGAGTACCTACATAAAGAGCAGAGTCTAGTCTGCAGAGTTTATGGCAGAGGATAGGCCTACATCATACATGTTAATTTAATTTAACTGAGTTAATTTAACTGAGTATACAGTTAATTTAATTGTAGACTTATAACAGGAGATGTTTTCTCATTTATTCGCCACGCTACCACTAATTAACTCCTTACCCTTACTCGGCCTTAGCACTACAATGCCAGGGCCATCCTACTTACGAAAATGAGGGTGCATGGTCACTGCCAGTGACGCTGAGAGGGTCTATGTCCACCAGGGTACTGCCGGAACGTATCCTGGGTACGGTCCGGTATACCGGAACGTACCCTGGTATACTATCTAATATGCCGGACCGTACCTCGCCTACTCCACTAACGAGTCTAGGGAGTCGCCTACGCCTACTCCGTAACCCTAACCCTAACCCTAGCCATATCAAACCCATATCAAACCCACTTGATTATACTCAAACCCATATCAAATAGTTACCAGGGTACGTTCCGGCAGTACCCTGGGGACATATAGACCCTATGAGCGCCAGTGACAGTGTTTCACATCTTGAGTTTTATGTCCTGGAATACTCAATTATTCAATACTGGAGATTGAGGGCCTGCGTCAATATGCGAACATTCAGAGAGACATGATACAAGATTGCGTGGCACAGCTTTGCTGTTGATCCTGAGCGCTGCGCCCAAGAATTTCAGCAGCAATGTCATTTATGGACAGATAAGGGAGGGTAGGTATATATAGAGGGCTAGGGCCTATACCAATTCCAAATTGGAGTCATTTGTGCATGTCATAAGCATTGCAAATACACATGAACTCAAACAGTTCAGAAACATGTGCATCAAGTTGTGATTACGCAGCATTGACTGTGTCAAGAATGTCACAAGTAAATAGCTGGAAATTAAGGCATGTTCATTAGGCATGCCGGGAGGTTTATGGGATGTTGCAAAATTGGATTGAACTTTGAAGTCATGTCAGACCTGACATACAATAAAGGCCTGGGAAGAACCCAGTATATGTGTGTGTGCGTGTGCGTGTGTGCGTGAGTGCGTGCGTGCGTAGGCTACTTGTGCGCATTTGCATGTGCGTGCGTGCGTGTGTAGGTCTACTGACAACAACAATAACAAACATATATCAACAACACTTGACATGATTCTGACCACAGATTTAGTTATTATGTAGTTTTTTAGGTATCACAGACTGATAATGTCACGGGAGAAAATAAGCGAAACATTCAAACAACACTGTTTGTACTATTGAGAATTTTTAATAATTATATAGTAATATCTCGCATTACATATTCCAGTAAAAATGTTTATAAAGCAAAGTTACATAATGTAAAACACGTTTTCATATTGACTTGTCCAGTTGGGTAACTGTCAACTAAGCATGGAAACTAACCTTCCCTGGACAATGTATAGCTACACTTGGTTAATCCAATGCATTCTCCATAAGGTCATGTGACAGTTTTGTTTATTTAGGAATACAGGATTGACTGATTTGGTCGATTGCTCACTAATGATTTTAAGTTAACCAAGCTATTGACTCAGTTTCAGTCATTGAAGCCCGGATTCTTCTCTTGCCATGGCAACCTCAAGGCTTGCTACAACTACTGCTGTTAGATTACCACCTCTACCAACAATAAGTGACCTAGTCAGGTTATACCGACTTCGGGCTCAAAAGCAGCTATCACAAAACTTTCTCATGGATATGAATCTCACTGACAAAATTGTTAAAGCAGCAGGCCCACTGAAGAACGGGTAATTATGACATTAAAAACCAATTTTCATCATTCGAGTAATGATAAAATTTGCATGTTTCTTATGGGATAACTACCTGATGCTATGCCGCCGGAGATTCATTGGTGCAAAGTATTAACGTACTGTGTTATTGTGCTATTTCATTTAGTGTATTGCTCTCCTATACAGGTACGTGTGTGAGGTTGGTCCGGGTCCTGGTGGCATCACAAGGTCCATTCTGAAGGTGGGGGCCAAGCTATGCGTGGTCGTTGAGAAGGATAGACGCTTCTTGCCTGGTTTGCAGGTAATTATCTGCTGCATTCTAAACACGTCGCTTACATCTTATAGCTGTGATAGATCATAGGTGCTGTTTCTATAACCGATAACTTTTTCAGCAATGATACTTTATGAATGAGAGAGAGAGAGAGAAAGAAAGAAATTTGTTTCATTTCAGTTCTACATCGTAGATGTGTGTTGATTGCAGGACGACGATCCAAGATGATTCTATATTCGTAAATTATTCTAGGTTAACTATGAGCCTGCATAACTGATTGTTGTTGTTGTTGTTGTTGTTGTTGTTGTTGTGATTGTTGTAATAATGATTTGTTTGGAGTTTGGGTTGAGTTAACACGTGCTCGATGCAGCGAGACAACCTCGATCTGTAACCCGTGAGATGTCCCGCTCTGCATTAATGTTTCTGTATTCTTGGCTGCGTGTTGCAGTTGCTGGGGGACAGCGTGGAGGGACGGCTTCGTATAATTCACGGTGACATGCTACGCTACTCTGGCGAAAACCTGTTTCCAGCTAACAGCATCACGGAGTGGAACTCCGATCCGCCGAACGTACATCTTATTGGAAATTTGCCGTTCAATGTATCGCTGCCGCTGTTGGTACAATGGCTACACCACATGTCAAATCACACAGGTGAGTAATGTGGCATGGCAGGTGTTTGTCTTGTTGTGATCATCGGATGCCAATTCATATGTGAATCTCATCATCAGGGGGTTGAAATTCAGCAAACTTTTCCTTGGAAAGAGTGAATACGTGATAAACATCTTCTTTTCCAACTTTTACACTAGAAAAATGTATAGTTACTTGTAATTTTCCGGGAACAGACCTTCTTGTCCCAGAAACGAAGAAATTCTTCAATTTTGACCTGTGCTCATTAGCGTGGTGATGCAACATGTTAATTTTACAATAACCGAGGTATACTAGTGTTACCCAGCGTCTGATTTGCACTGTCTCAGATTAAGGCCCTTATTAACAGATATTGCTAAGCATTGCCATTGTATGCTTTTTGCCATTTGTATTGATATTATTTGATTCCATAGTATTGTGTTTTATTATATTGTATTGCATTGCATTGTATTGCATTGCATTGGATTGTAGTGTAGTGTATTGTATTGTATTGTAGTGTATTGTAGTATAGTGTAGTGTATTGTAGTGTAGTGTAGTGTAGTGTATTGTATTGTAGTGATGTATTGTATTGTAGTGTAGTGTAGTGTAGTGTAGTTGTATTGTATTGCATTGCATTGTAGTGTAGTGTAGTGTATTGTATTGTATTGTAGTGTATTTGGTGTTTATTTCTAGGTCCATTCACATATGGTAGAACGAAAATGACACTCACCTTCCAGAAAGAAGTTGCGCAGAGGATTGTTGCTCAAATTAATGAACCAAACCGATGCCGCCTGTCTGTCATGTGTCAGTATCTGTGTTATGTCAAACACAGGTTCACAATACCTGGTGAGTGTGCTTCACAACAGTATCCTACATGTACATGCACGTGCAACAATTTTGCATCAAGTGCCACGTAACAGGCTAGAAGCATCACACCAATTCACCGAATGTGTGTCTTATAGGAAATTTACTGTTTAATGTATCGCTGCCTTGATGTAATCATGGGTGTGTTATGTATTACTTCATGTAATATCATGTGACTGCACGAGAGCCCCCTTTACTGCAATATATCTGAATGGCTGTGTATGTTCACACGCTTTTATTTCTACAGGTAAGGCATTCGTTCCAAAGCCAGATGTTGACGTGGGTGTTGTTCACCTTGTTCCACGCATTCATCCAAGGATCGCTCACCCCTTCAAGATGGTGGAGAAGGTTGTACGCTCGGTGTTTCACTTCCGGCAGAAGAAATGCAAGCGAGGGATAGCGTAAGACAGGATTTCAGAGGGCCGTTGTATTGTGTCACTCAATTTCATGTTATAGAATAATAATTAAAAATGTGTGAGTTAGCATCTGTATGTCATGTAGTTATAATCGACCTAGGCTATATATATATAGATGGATAGATATATAATAGCTCGTATAGCTCCATTTTTTGCTTAGAGATGGCAGCACGATGCAATTTAGATAAGAGTGCTGTTTCTGTCCTGTTTAATCGAGTCTCTTTTTAGGATTCTCTTTCCACGGGAGCGCACCGACCTTGTGGAAGAAGTGAGCAGGTACTCCGGGATTGATCCTACTTCCCGTCCATTCCAGCTCACCGTGGAAGAGTACGCACGCATCTGTGACGTGTATGCGAACATTTGCTCGCGAGAGCCAGGAATTTACGAATACGAGTACAGATGACAGCATCATGGACAGTCATGCTGATGTACCCGGCAGTTTTACTCAGCATTATGTAGTCGATTGGCTAGCAGGCAATGTGCCATGCAGGACCCAGTCAAGTTGCCAATATTAGTCTCAGACTAAGAGGCAATGTGCCATGTAGGACCCAGGCAATGTGCTATGCAGGATGCAGTCAAGTTGCCAATATTAGTCCGAGACTATCAGGCAATGTGCCATGTAGGACCATGTCAAGTTGCCAACGTTTGTCTCAGACTAGCAGTCCAGTTGGCAATGTTAGTGTGGCACTAGTGCTATCAGACGGTGGCATAACATCAGTTGACCATGGCTAAGGCACTTAGTTGAATTGTGCACAAGCATAGAGCGTGACCATGGATAGGTGCTCACTCAGCTGAACTGTAAATAGCATTACCAATAGTTAGAGCAAACTTGGCTGACATCGCAGGTGTGCTTGTTGACAGCATCTTCTTACCTTTGAACGTTTTACAGCTCATAAGGTATAATACTTGGTGAAGTAGAGAGAGTCTGCAAATGTTTCTTTTTATATCCGTACTGCAGTGCATTTGGTCATTAATACAGAATCGTGGTTTTACTTAAAGACTGTTTTCTGCTGGTAATTGACTGTTGCAATGACTGTAGATTATGGTCCTTGTCAAGAAATGTTGAAAAACGCATGAAATGGAATGAAATCAAGATAACAATGGAAATCTTTTACAACTGGGTTCAGTATTGATACTAAAATATTTTCTTAAATAAAATTTTTTGATACAGAATATTTATAACAATATACATACAGTACATACGTACATAATATAACTTAGATTCTCAATGGCTAAATTGTGTTTGTATGGTAAAGTAATATCCACACACATGAACAGATTTATGAATTGGAAGGAAGTGCCTGAAGCGTGAATGTAAATTAAATGTAATATTTACAAGTCGGTAGAATTCAAAAGTGTATTCTGCCACAAAATGAACAGAATGCTACATGTTTTTGATCGCAAGGAAAGCAGAACTTTCACGAGAGGAAAATACAAAGATGGGAAGGCCAGTATTATAACTACATTGCCCGCTATTAATAGTAACCAACTTGAACACTATTGATGGATTAAATGGTGCTTATCATAAACAGTGTTACAGGGTGCGAAATTAATGCGAGTCCGGAGTCAAATACTCCCTGATTTACTGTAGGACTCCCTGATTTGACATATGCTGGAGTCCGTGTGACTCCCTGAAAATTCTGCCATTCTAACTAGTTCATTCCAGAGCACGGCCTCGCGGAATTACCGTATTTTCCCAGTAAAAGTCCAAAGAAAATTTGGCAGACGTGCAACTGCATGAATCTTAAAAATAAGCACATGCGTTATTGTTAACATCTTTAATTTTGAACTTCAGACTGCGGACTCCCTCTTTTTGAGGGTAGGGTGGACTCCCGCTTTCAAAAGTTAATTTCTACCCCTGGTGTTAAAGGAACTTGTGTGACTCGCTATCACAAGTCCGCATGAAGCTACCCGTTAACATCATCTAATCCTACTGCATTATATAATTGTTGCTAAATCGTTTTAGTAGTCTAGTTCAAAGTCAACTGTATTATATATAGTCTGCTATCATTGCTATATAACCAGCAACATGAGGCGTACAAGATGCATTGTCAAGTATGACCTACAACTACTAGTGTTTAACAACCGATTGCCATTCTCGTGTCTGTTGAGCATATATATATATATATAAAATATATACATATTAAATCACGTGAAGAATTAGTTTCAACACTTCTAAAACACCAAGTGTGATTATTTGAGATGAGATGAAACTGAGTCTGGTTACTCTGTAGTAGACCCGGGCTGCATGCTAGCTGGCAGTAGTGAGTTTGATATTGTGACACTGCCAGCAACATGCCATGTGTGGACCGGCTGCGCTTGCACTGCGAAATTGAGAAAGAAGAGAACAGTAGAAGGACATAAGATGAGGGAAGTGGCAGCAGGAGAGGAAACGATAGACGACAGATAGGACGGTATTATTTAGATAGCGAGACATGCTGGGTGTTTGCAGATCGCACTTATGGAGCATTTGTGTTCCATCACATTACCTTGCGTGCGGAAAGAGCTCTACAGTGGGGCTTCCGTATGCATGACAACTCTACAGAACCCCGTATCACGCATCGAGTGCACACGTTCACAAAACCAAATGCCTCCAAAAACATCAACGCCATCGCCCGCGTGCAGAACGTCGCAGTCCTATCATATGATGCTCACTGAAATTGCCAACTACAGTCAACCCTGTGATATATAGGAGGCTAGGAGCCATCTCTACGCATCAGTCACTTGTCCATAGAGCCAATTTCGGCATTTCCCTTGAGCGGCTGGATTACAGTGAAACCACCTATAGAATGGCAACCTGTCCATAAATAGGCTGCTTTTGCTGTGCCCTTTCAGTGGCCGTTATACACGGTTTTGACTTTACGACTGTACGTTCGAGTGAACGATGGCAGACGTTTCAGTTCACACACACACGCACATGGCACTGGCGAACAGTGCCTGACAAATACCATGCAGAACACGTGCTGGCACTTCTTTAAGTTCATATAATTAGGAGTGAATAATAATAGATATATTATCTATCACTCCTGATATATATATATATATATATATATATATATATATATATAATGTATGACTATATATAATATTTAGTACTTGCATCACAGCAATACGTACAATAGTAAGCATTACCTACATGTGCCAAATATAGTATAAGACAGATGTAGTATTGAAGGTAATTTCATACTTCTAAAATTACTGTAATAATGTACCTATGGATTTGATCCAGGTAAAAACCACCCAGAAAACAGAATTTGCAGTAACACAAACTACACAAGCAACTCCCCTAGTTACAATATATCTGCTGATGTGGCATAGAACATAGTTGCTACTATGCCCATTCTTACTCCTACAACGTATAGCTGCCTAGAGTTCTAAAAATGTTTTTTTTTTAGAGAAAAAATGGCCATCCGCTCTATACAAGTTAATTACATTTAAATTGTATAGACATGCGATGGGAGAAACTGCATCATGATTCACGGTCGATGTTCCTTATGACTGCAGTTCAAACTGTCAACGACATTACAAGTAGACATTTCGCTTTGACCTCCGGGGCCAACGTCTACAGTACACACCTGCACGCACTAAGTCGCAGGTACAAATTACTTTTAATTATAAAATACCTGTAGATTCAAACTACTCATGGCTACCAATGCCTTCATTGTATAGTGAGTGCTATTATCGGAACAAGGTAAGATAGCAGTAGAGACATGCCCATACTTGTCTGCAATGTCACCCACTGCAGTGAAAGGTGGGAGGCTGACTCATTAGCAGAATATTCTGTTTTTAATGCAACGCATGCTACGTGCGTAAACGCAATAGACGAAGTACACACTCTCCATCTCTCTCTCTCTCTCTGTCACATATCGAGCGTACTCAAGATATATACCATTATGCTACATGAGCTGCTTATACCGCTGATCCTAATTGATAATAAATACTGTAGTCGGAGTGCTGGCTAATAATAGTAGATTACCTCAGTCAAGAATAGACTATGCAGCATCAACCACAAATATACTTGTGTAAATAAGACTGTAAAAATGTGCACACACATAAATAAAATGATCCCGCAAAAAATAGAAAACATAAATACCATACATAAACATGTGCACACATATATAGATATATGTACGTATATACAATATACACATATATATTTATACACACACATATACAGATTTACCAATATGCACATGTAATCTATGTATATAAATTCATTACTCCTGGTTAACACATAACATTAACAGTGTTTCTCCTGCCCATCAAATACGTACTACTAGCCAAACAACCTCCATTTTCTTCACATTGACATCGCTGAAAATAAATCCTACCCAAAAATAAAAAGCGTCGGGAGACAGGCGCATGACTGCCGTCAGCGCATAGCTTAATCAAGGTGAGTGCACAAGCAGCGATGCAAACGTGACAACCACACGACGACGCATTAAACCGTCGACGCTAAATGCTCTAGGAAATCGCACATGCCCCAGTGTAGAGCGCAGGTGCCAAGAACGACCAAATAACAATAGATTTTACCTGGGTTTCTTATAAACAGATAACACTGTGAGAATTTTTTTTCTACAGCTCCTGCAGGATGCGGATCATGTTCTCGAGCCCGAATATGTATCCAGTGTCGGGGCCCTTGTGCACGATGCAGTCGTCACGAAAACCCTCGTGAGTTGTGTGCGCAAAGTCGATCATGCGCACGTCGACCCTGCGTGACGGTGGCGCCACCTTGCATGAACAGCAACCGTCGTCCTTCAGCACAACCTCGTTCTCCTTGTCGCTGCAGAGCGTTGGCGCGTCGCTTGAACATGCGGCACCTGCCAGCGAATCCTCCGCGCGCTCTCGCACCCTCTCTCCCACCTTCTCCTCCTGCGATTCTAAGTTCCGCTCGGAACGCTTGCACGCCCTCTCCCCTGGTTTCTCAGCTTCTTCTCTCGCGCTTCCCCATTCGATTAGCGTCTCTTCCTGAGGACCCGCCCTCCCTCGCGTGCACGTGCACGCCTCCGCAACGACCTTCTCTCTGCCGGCAACACGTTTCGGGTGCCTCTCTTCGGTCTCCTCCTCTTCGTAGCCCTCGTACATGACGAGTAGCGAGCTCGAGTAGAAGCGGAATGTGCTCTGTGGGGCTAGCATTGCCTTTAGCTGCTGCAGTCGCTCTATCATCAGGCAGATCAGATCCCTCCGTACCTGCACATGTAGCATATCAGCTGGTGTTAGTAACGAGTAGCAGTTGATTTGCTATACTATTACTATACTACTACCGCTGCTGCAACCATTACTGCTGCTGCTGCTGCTGCTGCTGCTGCTGCTGCTGCTGCTGCTGTTGCTACTGCTATTGCTGTTGCTGCTGCTGCCGCTTCCATTGCTACTGCTACTGGTTCTGCTGTCGCTGCTGCTCAAAATGATCCCTGGCTCTTACCTTCTTTCCAGTGTTCAAGAACTGAAGGAGAGCCTTTCGAAAACCTTCCTCCGAGAGGCCCCTCCCATAGTACTTGTTGTGACATATGTACTGCCCAGAGTCATTTTGATACACCTGCAGACATAATCACATACATCGTCAAAACATAGGAATCGACATGCATCGTATACTGTACAAGAAGAGCTGACGTGCTGCATGCACGCACGCTGAGTGAGCAGTGCAGCCAACAATTGAGCTTCCTGCATACTGCATGCATTGAATCAATCTTAACCGAGCGAGAGTTAGCCTGTGGTGCCCCACCACCCCCACACACCCCTGCATACCTGCATGCTGCATGCATTGAGTTAAACATAACAACGAGGCAAGGGTTAGCCTGTGGTACCCACTACCACCCACACCCTGCATACCTGCATGCTGCATGCATTGAGTTAAACATAACCGAGCGAGATTTAGCCTGTGGTACCCCACTACCACCCCACACCCCTGCATACCTGCATGCTGCATGCATTGAGTCAAACATAACGAGCCCGAGATTTAGCTGTTGGTACCCCACTACCACCCCACACCCCTGCATACCTGCATGCTGCATGCATTGAGTCAAACATAACCGAGCGAGATTTAGCCTGCAGCGTCCCTCACCTCCACCCCTGCTAACTTGCATGCCACATGCATTGAGTTAAACATAACCGAGAGAGGGTTAGCCTGCAGCGTCCCCACCCCCCCATCTGCTAACCTGCATGCCGCACACGCGTACGCCAAGAGAGGCGGATGTCGTCGCAGCGCACTTCCTCCGCTGGCTCTGCTGCTTAGCTTCGGACGCGTCGTCGCCGTGTTGCCGCGTGCCCATCTTCAGGTCGAGCACGCACGGGTAGCGGTACTGACACGTCAGATTCTCCAGCAGTATGAACTCTGAGAGACGGTCAAGGAATGGTCGCAAGTAGACTTGTTCCATGTCCCTAACTTACAGTAAGGGCAGGAAAGGTAGCTTGGAGAGCTAGACTTGCTCTTTTTCCTTACAGTAAGGGCAGGAGAGGTAGCTTGGATAGCTAGACTGGTTTCCTTTCCTTACAGTAAGGGCAGGAGAGGTAGCTTGGAGAGCTAGACTGGTTCCCTTTCCTTACAGTAAGGACAGGAGAAGGTAGCTTGGATAGCTAGACTGGTTCGCCTTTCCTTACAGTAAGGACAGGAGAGGTAGCTTGGATAGCTAGACTGGTTCCTTTCTTACAGTAAGGACAGGAGAAGTAGCTTGGATAGCTAGACTGGTTCCCTTTCCTTACAGTAAGGGCAGAAGAGGTAGCTTGGAGAGCTAGACTGGTTCCCTTTCCTTACAGTAAGGACAGGAGAGGTAGCTTGGATAGCTAGACTGGTTCCCTTTCCTTACAGTAAGGACAGGAGAGGTAGCTTGGATAGCTAGACTGGTTCCCTTTCCTTACAGTAAGGACCGGAGAGGTAGCTTGGATAGCTAGACTGGTTTCTTTTCCTTACAGTAAGGGCAGGAGAGGTAGCTTGGATAGCTAGATCAGAACCCAAGGGTTAATGACACCTGTTATACATTATACAGTACTACAATGTTCCACGCTGGGGACCGCAGAAAGGATACTCTGAGTGCTCGCTCCTTTACTCTTGACATTCTTGCGCATCTTCTTCAGCTGTTCCTTGTGACACTTGAGACTCCAGGGGTTGTGTCCGGGCGCGTGCGGTTCCTCCCACTGCCCCGCCTTCTCCTGCACTATCAACGAGGGCTCGGCTGCACCATCGTCGTTCTCCAGACTGCTCGAGCGACGTAACCTTGACCTGAAATGAGGAAAGGTCCATCGCATGAGGTCGAGATAAGGGGAGTAACCCATGAGAATAGATGGCGGCAGTGAGCTATACATAGGTAGCCACTGCTGCTGCTACCTGCCTTTCACCCATGCACACAGCAGAGTTGAGCAAGACGTCACACACAAGTAGAACAAGGTACAAGGAATAAGGCACAATGAAAAAAGAACAAGGGGCAAGGAATGAGGAAGCCGTTGAACAAAGGACAAGGAATAAGAGACAAGAATGATAGAATAGGGCACAAGATGAACAAGGGACCAGTGCAAGCAACCAGGAAGGCGAAGTAACATGGGAAAATTTGAAGAAACAAGAATCAAGAGATGAGTTAAAGAAGGGACACTGTGTCATGTGCATCATTAGGTGAGAGTGGATCACAGGTTGCAGTAGAGTAGAATGGCAGATAGAGAGATACATCATGAACAGAGTAACAGACCAATAACTACGTCATATCAATGAAATGGCTCATCAGTGAGGAGGACAGGATAGCAACTTGGTGTACGAGGAGATATGGTAAGAGAGATAATCTACTAAGCACCAGAGTAAAATACATAATAATTAGAGTGGAATATAGCTAAACACATAACATTACAGGGTTTAATATAGGCCAGATTTTGGTTTAAAATTAAATTTTAAAGAAGATGTTGCCTTTTTTCACAATTTGGCCGTATATATTTCCTAATGACCACCATTTTTGACCAAAGCTATCTCATTCAATAATTTCACAGAAAAGTGCCATTTTCCTAACACCCAATCATTGTAGCTTGCTTCGCTTGTATGCTTCTGTGCACCACTGCATATCATCTCACCCAAAAGTCACAAACGGGTTAATTTTGCCACAAAATAATTCTCAGGTACTAGACACAATTACCCAGATAAAACCCAGCACATAGAAGACAATTTAGCCAACACATCCAGTGAAAGATAGAAAGACACAGGCATAGACTGGCAGATAAAATCACACATCATAAACGCAGTGAAAGATAGAAACACACATGCCACAGATAAAAACACACGCATCATAAACACAATGAAAGATAGAAAGACACGTGCATAGTGAGAATTTAAATCACAGATCAGAAACACAGTGAGATAGAAAGACACGTGTACAGGGTTTCTTCTGAGGAAAAATTAGACAAAGGAGGTAATAGCCAATTTGGGAAAAAAAACGCGCACGATGGATTCAAATACAGGATGTATTGATATACTTATAGGTATATAGCTATAGAATATACTTATCAGTAAATACAGGAACATTTTCACAACGGCAATGTTAAATTTGACAACGGCGGTGCGCCACTGTGCCTCCTATGTATAAGAAACCCTGGTGTATAGAGTTACAGATAAAAAGACGCTTCATAAATGCAGTGAAAGATAGAAACACACATGCATTGTGCCACAGATAAAAAAAAACGCATCATAAACACATTAAAAGATAGAAACATAAGTGTATAAAGTGAGAACTAAAATCACAGGTCAGAAACACAGTGAGATAGAAAGACATGCGTATAGAGTGACAGATAAAAAGACACTTCATAAATGCAGTGAAAGCTAGAAAGGCACATATATAGTGGTAAAGATAAAATCGCACGCATCATTAATGCAGTGAATGAAATAATGACACGTGAATAGAGTGAGTCAGTGTCACACCTCAAAAAAACACATTTTCAATTAATTGAGAGCTGGTGAGACAGATGATATAGATGGAGCAACCAACACGCTCTCACTCAGTTGGTCTTATCTGAACACCCAAGACACGTACATTTTTTAGACTCGCAAAATTTGAGTTGCTGAACTCGATCAGTACATAAAGCAGGGGTGTAGAAAAGCAGTACATAGTCCTGTTGCATAACTAGCATCAATAATGAGTAGAGGAAATGAAGTGTCTGAGACTAATTATTATGAGCCAGTCTAGCCCCAACAGATCTTCCACAGGTTTAGATGGACCACATGTAGGATTGACCATGTGTTGGATGCACCACACGTAGGATGATTGACCATGTGATGGATGTCTGGGCCACTAATGTGGAATTGACCTATATGGATTTGAATTGGATCCACATGTAGGATTGACCACACTCGTTAGTAGTGTGTATTGGACCAGTGTGATTGGATGCACCACCGTTAGGATGATTGACCATGTGTACATGGGAATGTTGACCACATTGTAGCGATTGACACATGTAGGTATGCATTGACCATGTTGATGGAGTGGACCACGCTTGTAGATCTGACATGTGCATGGTCGATGCGGCACATCCGCTCCGCGCGCTTGATTCATTTATGATGATCCAATGGCCACATGTAGGAATTGACCTGATATACGAATGATTTCGCCCAATGTTGTTGGTCGATGCACCACAGCGTAGGATATGGCGAATATTGACAATGCTTGTGAATGGCATTGTGACCACACGTAGGTTATGCATTGACATTGTGATTGGAGATGCGACCACATGTTCAGGATTGACCACTGTGATGGATGGAACCAGCATGTCAGGACTTGACCATGTTGGATTTGGTGCGACCCATTGTATGGATTGACGCTCATGTAGGGAACCTTGACCTTGATGAATGGATGGAGCCTTCATGTCGGGATTTGACCACATGTAGACTTGACCATGTGATGGTCATAGGACCACAGTGGTAGGAATATTGACCACATGGTAGGATTCGAACCATTGTGTTGGTATTGCACCACATGTAGGATTGATTTGGACCCATTGTTGTGAGATGGGCACATGGTAGGATTTAAACTCATTGTATGTGATTGGGTACACAGGTGTTAGGACTCTGACACCATGTGAATGGTTATTGGACCAGCAGTGTAAGGATTGACCATGTGTATGGATGGGACCACATGTATGGCATTGACCATGTGATGCGATGGATGCCTCATGTAGGATGGACCACATGTAGGTATTGATCCATGTGATGGATGGGGCACTATGTTATGAGATTTGACCATATGATTGTGAGGACCTACATTAGGATTTTGACCATGATGATGGCACCAATGGGACCACATGTAGGATTGACATTAGTGATTGGATTGGTGTATTTTCTGTGGTGTGTTTGCGCGTTTTCATTGTCGGTGACCACATGTAGGCATTGGCCAAATGTAGGATTTGACCTGTGGATTGGTATGGACTTCATGTAGGAATGGACCACATGTAGGATTGACCATTGTGATGGACTAGACCACATGTTAGGATGTATTGTGATCATGTGATGGTATGGACCACCTATGTTAGGATGATTTGATCATAGTGATGGACTGGACACTATTGTGTTGGATTTGACTCATGTTGATGGATATGGTACACATGTAGGAATTGACCACATGTAGAGATTGTACCATGTGTGGTTGGAGCCACATTGTAGGGATTGACCATGTGATGCGTATGGACCAATTGTTCTTTTTTGTTCTAGATTGCATGTGTTGGATAGAACCACATGTTAGGTATGATTGATAATGTGATGGATGGACACATTGTAGGTCGGTATGACTGACCTATGTGAATGGACTGGACAACATGTAGGATATGAACACTGACCATGTGTTATGGATGGACATCGTTGTGGGTAGACCACATGTTTAGTGATTTGACCATGTGATTGGCGATAGACCACTTAATAGTTAGGAATTGACCATGTGATGGATGGACTGCATGTAGGATTGACCATGTGATGGATGGACTGCATGTAGGATTGACCATATGTTAGATGGACCACATGTAGGATGATTGACCATGTGTTTGATGGACCACATGAAAGATTGACCATGTGTTAAAGATGCATTCCCATGACATTTTTGTGACAACCCACTGTAAATACGTAAGTAAATAACTCACTACACTTTAACTGAACGTTAGCTTTGAAAATAAAACCGTAAAAATATGTATCAAGCCAATATGTATCCAGCCTATATTTCCTCAACAAAAAAACAACTCGAAAAACGCGTTTCGCCGCGGTTCTGTATCATAGCGGCAAGAGCCGACGCAGGTCACGTAACCAGCACAGCTATAGATATCATATAACACATTGGTTATATGATATCTATGAGCATATATGTAGCCTTCATGACCTTCAGCGCTTGGCAACACCGCATGGCAACAAGAGACGCGTCACAACATCGCCGCAGAGTGGCAAAAGTAACCGTTGTTTGAAACATTCGACCCGACACTTTCACTTTGTAGTCTAAAAGCTTTGAATGAACGTATTCCTGAGCTTCTTTTTTTTTACCTATCACACATAATTATTATATAGGCAAGTACAAATGTGCAATGTTAAAATAATTCATTTTTGCCTGATTTTATGTTTGCCACTTGAAACTTCGAGGGAAGGCACCTTTAAATGGATCACATGTAGGATGATTAACCATGTGATGGATACACCACATGTAGGATTGACTGACCATGTGATGGATGGACCACATGTTTGAATGTACCATATATTAGATGGACTACGTTTGGATGTGTCATATACTGGATGAACCACATATTTCCACGTGAATCAAATGCATGTCAAAAGTAATAAAGGAGATCTATACTCAATGCATCCTGTAGACCCTTCTGTGTCTGTAACGACACATCAATGTTGAATAAACAACATAAGCGCACACTTGCAAGAATGCACACACACACAAACTCTGAGACAAACAACAAAGCTCTTCATCCTTCACCTAGCTCCAACTTTTAGCAACATGTACCCATCGTATGTGTTGCAGTATGTGAGAGCCAGCACGCGAGTTTGGACAGTCCGGCCTTAGCGGTACGGGCACATTTTTCTGCCCCATTGCGTGGGTTGATGCATATAGGCAGGGGTTACTCTACCACTTGCCAAAATATCCAATTGCTACACTTTTTTTGTACTGGATATAATTATTGGATAAACATTAGACTGGATATTTTTTGGCTAAAAGTGACCAAACTGGCCAATTGGCAACTCAGAGCAAGCAAAGGTCCAGATACAAGCATCACAGAGTTGAGAAATAGGTAATTTAGTATGTGGACAAAAAATTGCTATGTATTATTAACATTGGCTGCAAAAAAGCTAAGTGGCTATTTTTTTGGCTACACTTTTCAATTTCCCAGAGTAACCCCTGTATAGGCGATGAAAAATCAACACAGTTGCGAGTGGCCACCCACCTGGCCAATTCTCTTCAGATATACAGCCCAGCTATAGTCATTACTTTTGAGGGGAGATGCAAGCGAGGGAAGTCGTTCACATAAGAGGTCGGGCGTGGAGATCACTTATCACATCATGGTGTTATGTTCAATCTGAGAATTACCCATTCTCTCTCATCTCCAGCCAGCCCCAGCCACATTCAATTGGATGGATCTTCGGGTACACAAGCTACTTGCACCGCTAGGTGGCACATGACCGGGGTTAGCCCCTGGCGCTGTCACCGCGCCAATGCACACACACACACACGGTGTGGCACGCACAGACAGCAGCGTGGCAAGGCGTCCAGTGACCGCCTGCAAAAGATAAAACAACAGTGTGGAAAGAGACACGAGAGCGCCGGCGCTCTACGTTGCAGCGGCCGTGGCCGGCAGCGACCGGCGGCGGATGGCGTGCCCTACCTTGCCGGCAGCTCTCGCCACTTCTTGCGTTCTCGCACGACGGATGAGCGCGCTCTCTCCAACTCCGTCTTGCCATGCTTGCTCTTCTGCGTCGGCGAGCTCGTGACGAGTGACACGTAGCCTTCCTCATCCTCCTTACATGTCACCTCTATCACACCTGCGTATTTGGCAGCATAATCATGTGTCACTCGATACGATCTGACTAGTGTGATGCCAGCCAGTGTCACACAGCGCAGTGTGTACATGCCTCCGCACACACGTGCGTAAACACACACGCACGTGTGCACACACTCAATGCATGAGCACACCACACTACTATACTATTACCAGAGTACAGATTAAGGTTCACAAACATCCGGCAATACAAATCTTGTAATACGTCGAACAAATTCAAAATCGGAAGCGTAGGTTTCTCGCAAATTTGTCTTAAAATGAAGAGCCGACTCTGGAGGAGAGAAAATGAGCACGTACCTCTGTACTCTGGCGTGAATTCCTTCATCTCAGGCGGCAGCGTCATGTAGAAGTGTCGCTCCCTGGAGATGAGAGGCTTGCAGACGGTCGTCTCGTCGAACATCATCATGCCCGAGTGACCGCCGACCTGATGTACGAACGGCTGCAGACAAACAGCGACCGAACTCACTCCTGTCTCACACCTACAGGGGTAGAAATTAACTTTTGAACAAAGGAGAAAAGAGGGAGTCCGCGGCAAAATGAGGGAGTCCGCAGTCTGAAGTTCAAAATTAAAGACATTAACAATAACGCATGTGCTTATTTGGAAGATTCATGCGGTTGCACGTCTGCCAAATTTTCTTTGGACATTTGCTGAAAAAATACGGTAATTCCGCGAGGATGTGCTCTGGAACAAACTAGTTAGTATGGCAGAATTTTCAGGGAGTCACACGGATTCCTGCATATGTCAAATCAGGGAGTCCGACAGTAAATCAGGGAGTATTTGACTCCGGACTCGTGGTAATTTTGCACCATGCAAAACTAGCAGTGCTTCAGTTTGGTTCCCGAAACAAAGGGGTGCAGAGTGTACGAGACGGGGTGGGGTGATGCCTCCTATCAGGGGACGAATTTTTATTTCTTTTAATCACTGACACAAATTTTTATTTTGGATTGAAAGACGCGTTGCCCTCAGTTTAATCTGAAGTCTTAGAGCACTACAGCATGCTGGAATAGCAACAAGACAAACATTAGATTCAAAGAAGAGTTATCAATGCAACTTGCCTTTTATCCATACTTACGCGGGCTCAATGAGGAATAAATAAAGGAATACACACACAAGACAGTATTTACGGGACGACACGGCGGCTAGTTTAATCGTTCAAATTTCAGGGGCACAACCGCAGTACAGTATGAAGGGGGGCATGGTAGATCAAGATGGAAAACACAACACTTGCTGTCAGTGACATAATGAATTCATGCCCTGTTTATATAAATAAACAGTTTCTCAAGTTATTTTATATTACTTCTACAGTTGCTCTCAGCTCGACATATAGTTGAAATCACGTATCTGTGAGGTTTAAGAACGTTGCTTCAGAAAGCTGATCAGGACTTACACGAGTGCACCATGTTTCCACCAATGCTGATAGGCCTCACACATCGCAACATCAGCTTTACAACCGAACGAACATCACAGAAAACGCTGTCTGCCAAAACGCCGTTCGTAAGAAAGGTGATAGCGTATAGCAAATCAGAAACACCAACGCCCTCAACATATTAGGCAGTTGCTGAGCATCTTTCTTCGCAGCCATGTGTTTGCCTAACCTCGGGATATTTTCAGCTAGCATCGCCTACACTCTCTAGCATCTCCTGGCCGTGTTTACATGAAAAGATTTCAGCAAAAAAGGGCAATGTCTTCTGGCGAGGCTAGCAAATCAACTGGGAGTTAAAACTCAGCCCATGCTGTATCGCATTAAATAACTTTCAGACGAAATTCACACCACCCACGCCAGCTGGCATCACTAAAGCTGTCGCATCACTACATCACCACAGAAATGCTGCTGCTGCTGCAGCTGACAACATCACTACTGCTAATGATAACTATGCCAGAATTGAAGTAACCGCGTCAACACAATGTAAACAAACAAATTTCAATTGTTGTATATTTTAGTGGGAAAAAAACAGTGTACGGGTGTTTCAAGACATGTTATAGCCTTACTTTAGACACTTGCTGTTATGTAAGCAATACCAGTAAGTAGTGTAGTGGTCGGAAAAATACGAGAACGGTCAGTAATACTGTTTGAAATCCGTTTGCAATTCCGTTGTAGAAAAGATTTCAGTTTTACAATTAATTAGAAAAAAAGCAAGAAAATTCAGTATAGAATGCCAAAAACAAACAAATACGTACCAGTAAGTACTGCAGTGTTCAGAAAAATGTCAGAATGACCAGGAAGACTGTTTGATATACTTGCTTTTTAAAAACTAGACTTGAACCCACAAACACTATACTTTGTCTTTGTAAGCTCTTGATTTTGTGAATGTGCAGTGTATTAATTCCTGCACACAAGCTACCTAAGCTACATCATCTGCCGACCTCCAATAAACAACTTCCTGGAGAATTGGCAGGGCTTCAATAGTGGGTTAAGAAATGTGTTAACGTACTATTTTTAGACAATAACTTGATACCTATACACAAATTGAAGTTTTGCACCATCACTTCTTGGGGGCTGACATTATGCATCACATCCTTGAATTCTGTCAGCACATAAATGCAAATTGCACTACTTAATATGAACTCTTACAAACTTTTGTTGTTTTTTGTTTTCCGAATTTAAGGAATATAACGTACGCTGTCAGCCACAAGAAACGATAGCGGAAAACTCTCTTTAATTTGCTCATAGGTGTCAAGTCATCGCGTGAACACATTCTTACTTCTACCATTTAAAAGGGATAGATCTCGCAACAAAAGGCCTACATATACCTACTGTGAGCATACGTGCAGTGTGCAAACATCACGAAATGTTCTCATTGAGCCAGAAATGTGCTCCGAAGTTGACTATTTTGAAAACTCAAGTCAGACGCAAGTTATTTGTACGAAGTGGCAGATAACGCAAAATAGTATCCATACGCCATAGCGCAAATAGTTCCAGGAACGAAAACACTATATTTGTTTCCTGGTTGCATAAGTAATATAGAGAACTATATATATGATTTAAACAAATTTCACAATTTTGTACTGAATAAACATCGAATAATGAATTATAACTTGTTTTATAATAGAAAGGAACTGTTACTGAATCAAGTAGACCGCTCCGCTGTGTCCGGGATGTGTAAACATCACTGTGGTGCTACATTCGTAAGAGAAGTAATTTCGTTTAGATTTTGAGATGAAATGTTATGAAAGTAGCAATACAAATGAGTTGTAGTGAATTTTGCAACATATGCAAGCTCACAGTAGGTATATATATATATGCATTTAGCTGCGAGGTTGATCAACTTTAAGTCCTGCCACCTCCAAAGGAAATGTGGAGTGGGCACACTTTATTAGGTACTAGCGGCGTTGTCCGGGGAAATCAGTGGCGTTACTCAGTTGATGACCGCTTGGTTGAAAGAGAAATACCCAAAAAAATCCAACTATCTATCTATCCATGCATCCATCCATGTATCCATCCATCCATCCCATCACACCGCATCCCCCATCCCATCCCAAAGGACCCAAACAGTAACAAATAATAAGAAATCAAAAGAAGAAGCTTCAGCCTAACCAAGACTTCAGCATGTACGCTTATAGATTGAGTTCTCACCTGTTCACTATGTTCACTATGTTCAACTGTAGCACAAATAGTTCAATTGTTGCTACCAAACAATAATCTTAAGACACTCGCACGTTGCCGCCATCTATTGACGAATAGTAAAGTATTAATTTGTTTTCAATTTTTAACTTTTTAACTTGTCTTATTTTTTTAATGAATATATATAAAATTTATTTTTTAAATTTTGAAGTGGCAGAAGTACTGGCTGAAGTTGCAGAAATACATACTAAAGAGGTAGGTAAAAAGAAAAAAGGAGAAAATACGTTCCCCAGCTGGGACTCGAACCCGGAATGTTTATCTATACGCACCGCCATCTATTGATGAATAGAATTTTAATCAATTTTTAACTTTTTTAAATTTTTGTTTCTGCCAGAACCACCTCCCAGACGTGCTGATTCTGAAAATATCTTTAGTTTTCCTCTAGGCTGCAGAGTTCTCTAGTTATGCAAGTACGGACTAATTCGGCTGAACAACTTTTATATATAGATATTGTGTGCAAGATGTAACATGTTGTTAACTCTACATAAGTATATTGGCTTAACTACCCCAATCATTTAACATCATGCTATATACAACAAATAATTATCATTTATATCTATATTCGACATTCTATAGTAAATATGAACGTACCCGGTATGAACTTTATCCATTATAGATATGGTCATCGCACTTAGACTGGTAAACCAACTCTAGTAAACTACTGTCGCCTTGTTACGTGCAGTACCCTACTGCATGCAGACGACACGGCTTCAGTGACTCTTGCTCAGGCCACTACTTCAGTACTTGCATCAAAGAGGATATCTGGAACAAAATTAATTCCTTAAAAGCATATAGCCTTCTACAAGTATTACTGCCTCGTTTATTACTTCGTGAAATAATACTCACAACACAAGTAAAAGTATCCAGACTATTATCTGATTAGATATGTAAGTTTCTGTTTCTGTTGTGGACGTGGATATTCGTCCGAGCATCGGACACCTGTTCGTATGCGCTATTCGTCCGAGCAGTTGTTGCGTATGCGCTGTTCATGTTGTATTACATAAATGTAATAATAATAATGCTAGTCTAGGGAGGCGCCTACTCCCTAACCACGCCTACTCTCTAATCCTAACCGTAACACTAACTATAAACCAACTCGGTTCTATTATTATACGCTCGGTTTCATATATATACGCGAGTGATAGTACCAAACACTATCTATGGTGTATAACCACATACGCAACGTATGTATGCAGGGGCGTCACAGCCGTAGGACTGCCGTAGCAAAACGCTACGGGCCCCCAGCCTAAAAGGCATAAAATAATCAAAAATCTAAAGGGTAAATAGCATTTTAGAGCGTCTAGATTTAAAAATTATACCCCCCCTTCACACTTCCTACCTACAGCACTCGTGCCGTGCGCCTGCGGCATGCAACATGAACAGCGCATGCGCAACAACTGCTCGGACGAATAGCGCATAGGAGCAGGTGTCCGATGCTCGGACGAATATCCACATCGTTCTGTTGTAGTACGTAAGTGTAAGTGTAGCAGTAGTAATAAGTAACTAGTATTACTATTAGTAGTACTACTATTATTGACTATTACTATTAGTACTAATACTATTACTACTACTAGTACTAGTATTACCTGTTATAGCTCTAGTACTATAGCCCGTGTTCGATTAACTGCCGCAGGGCTATAGCACATTGTCGGCTGGAAATACCAACTACAACCTGTTACCACCTGTCCCCATGAAAGATGGATCGCAAAACGCAAAGTTATCGGGCTTATTTATCTACAATTCGTCTTCGTTTCAAAATGAAATGCCAGTAGTGCTTACTTTGTGGAATAAAAGGACAAATACATGGTGTAAAGTTGTTGAAAGTGTTCAAAAGGATAGGTGAGATCTCCATGTAGATAAATAAATGTTAAAAAGCCCGATAACTTTGCGTTTTGCGATCCATTTTTCATGGGGACAGGTGGTAACAGGTCGTAGTTGGTATTTCCAGCCGACAATGTGCTATAGCCCTGCGGCAGTTAATCGAACGCGGGCTATAGTAATAGAGCTATACCTGTGAATATAGTGTTAGTGTTACAACTTACACTGTTAGTGTTACTGTTAGTGTTACTAATAATAAACACAGATCAGCTGACTTGAATACTGTACAGTATAGTCAATTCGCCCTCCCTCGCTGTATTTATTAAAAAAAACTTGTTGTGATATATGTAAGAATGTAATATACTTGAAAGCGTAAATAAATTTCAAAATCTAATCTAAAAAAAAAAAAATTCTGCAAAACAGTTCACGGTTCTACTTCTAACACTAACAAGTTTCATTTCAAACAAAAACGGTTAATAATACTGTCATGGCTGATCGTGTATGGTTGTTTGATTTATTTTGGTCATCAGCTAATAAAATATTCAAATTATCTTAAGAATAAGCTGTGTAAGTGTTACGTTTCTACACAGGAACAGGCGACAAAGATTTCAGCTTGTTTACTTCAACCCCAACATGGCGGCGTTAATTCGCGGATACGGAACACGGAAACGCGGTCACGTGACCAAAATGAAAAATCGAATCAACAAATTAGTTTCGTGTAGGTTTAAATAGTAATTAGGAACTAGTATAAAATATTATAAACTTTTCGCTGTTATTTTACTTAATACGCAGACTTTTATTAACATTTATTTAAAACTCACAAAATGTTTTGTTCACTTGTTTCAGCACGATAAGTACTCCCTCTTTTTCCGGTAGTGACCCTGCTCGTGGTTTGTATTTTTGAGATTTTCGTGTACAAAATTCCAGAAATGAGTACATGAGCTAATATTCATCAGATATATTTTTTATTTACTGTGTACAGTAACCTACTTTTAATATTTTCAGGCAAACACAAATTCAATATGCAGAACGAAGCAGGAGAATACGTTGACATGTACATTCCTAGGAAATGGTAGGTTATCATTTACTTTAGTCCGAGCCGACGCAGACCACAGTAATGGTGTCTGCGGCCGTGTCTATCTCAATCACGGAAAGCCACCTCCAGTTTGGAGGTGGTACTTATAAGTAATATATGCGCCCGATATATACAATCCTATTGCGTGGAACTTACTTTAATCTGAACTTGAATCATTTATCTACGTGCATGCACGCTATCATGTCCTGGTAGCGGCCACAACATAAGAATATATCAAGTTGTTAACCTAATGAGTAATGGTTAATCCAATGAAAATGTTCTGTCTTCATTCACATTTGTCAACCAATGAAAATCACTTCCGGTTACTTCGGCTATTCCTGATGTTCAACAGGAAACATGGTAGGTAGTCCGCGCCATCTATTATTATTTTCGAATTATTATTTCCGAGTGAACCCGAGGCTACCGGAAGTGAATTTCATTGGTCGATTGAAAAATCTGTCCAATATGGTCAAAAATATCGAAGTTACTCTTACTAGGATGAATTATTGCATGAAAACAAAGTTCTGAAACGGAGATAAAGTTTTCGGAAAACGATATTGACAAATAGAAGGTCTGTACTTGATATTTTGGGTTGGCTATACCCCCGTCACGCCCTCAGTGCTACTCGATTCACCTATCCATTGCCCTCAACAAAAATTGCAACAATTTTTACAAGGGTGACTGCAGACGATAAACCTGCACCCTCAGATTAGCAAAGCGGAGTTATAACGTCTGCATTTGCGGACTAGTTATCATTCAATGACATTTTTGCTTTGGCCGCAGGTTCGCAATCACGTAATTGTTTGTGTCAGTGTGTCTGACAGAATGCTGGATGATGAATTTTTGGGCGCAATCTTGTGTCAGCAGCTATATCATTCTATGCATACCATATGTAGTCGGCATCATGTTTCTTCATAACATGGTCTTGTTGACTTTAGTTTGCCAACGCACTCAACGCGTTTATGCCGTTAGATACAATAATGTAACCCAAACCCAGGATAGGGTTACAACGCGAGCGTATGGTTTTCTGTGGAGGAAGTTCAGGGAACCCCTGAGTGAATCACTCAGGGTGGTTTGCTGGTGCGTTTTCAGAGACTAGAACTTCCAAACTGTGTTTATTCTAAACACGAATCTTTCTCCGCTATCCTGGAACTTACTATGTATCACAATACTCTGTATTAAACTAATATAACCTGTTACAAAAATTCGGAGTGACGAGCGGCGGATATTTCGAGCGCCATTTCTGTTGACCTGTGACGTACGCATTCCCAATGCGCATAGCGTTCGGCTAACTTCGTCATGACGTCACGACTGACAGCAGGCATCCCATGATACATTCGATCCTGGAGTCGAAGTTAGTCGAACGCTATGTGCATTGGGAATGCGTACGTCACAGGTCAACAGAAATGGCGCTCGAAATATCTGTCGCTCGTCACTTCGAATTTTTGTAACAGGTTATATTAGTTTAATACAGAGTATTGTGATACATAGTAAGTTCCAGGATAGCGGAGAAAGGTTCGTGTTTAGAATAAACCCAGTTTGGAAGTTCTAGTCTCTGAAAACGCACCAGCAAACTGCCCCGAGTGATTCACTCAGGGGTTTCCTGAATGTCCTCCACAGAAAACCATACGCTCGCGTTGTAACCCTATCCTGGGTTTGGGTTACATTATTGTATCTATGAACGCGTGCACAAAAGCGCGTGCGTAAAGTAGGGATCGCTCGAACTTTGTGGCTAGCATTGTATTCTGGACCAGTGACAGTGTGTTGGGTGTATATGTGTGTGTGTTGTGTGTGTGTAGGTGTGTATATAGGTGTGTGTTGTGTTGGTGGTAACCCTATCCTGGGTTTGGGTTACATTATTGTATCTATCAACGCGTGCACAAAAGCGCGTGCGTAAAGTAGGGATCGCTCGAACTTCGTGGCTAGCATTGTATTCTGGACCAGTGACAGTGTGTTGGGTGCGCTAGTTCTCGATAAGCTTGATCATTGACGGCGTATGTGTCGCTATGGTTTTTGGTGTCTATTTACCTGCAACTAACATGGGCCAAGTAATACGTGTGAGTCGTGTTGAATCCTCAAAATGTATTGCCAAAACTACATTAATTTAAATCTTGCAAAATATGTATGTGTACTATTAAGATTGCATAATGAAGGTGGTTACTCAAGTTCAAAAGTAATGCAAATTAGTTTTATTACACCACCTCAATTTTATTAATCTGGATTGTGTATGATTTTGATTGCTTGATGATGAAAGGTAGTTTTTAGCTCATCTGACATAGTCAGATGCAGCTTGTAGAATCGCATGATCGTCCGTCCGTCCGTCCGTCCGTCCGTCCGTCCGGGCGTCCGTCCGTGCGTCCGTCCGGGCGTCCGTCCGGGCGTCCGTCCGTGCGTCCGTCAACAGTTGGGCACAAATCTTAACCGCTTGACGTACGGTCACGATATTCGGGACGTGGGGGGGTAATCCGAAAACGAGTTGGGATGTTGAAGCTGGGGGTCAAAGGTCAAAGGTCAAGAGGTGTAAAAGAAGGGGGAACATTCACTCCTTAACTTACGGTATAGGGAGGAAATACAGAATTGCGGCACAAATCTAAACGGCTCGATCTAGGCTCGTGATAGTCGGTGTATGTAAGGAAAAGCCATCCACTGTGCCGAAATTGGAGGTCACAGGTCAGTGGGCACAGGGCAGATTTTAGACATTTTCTGAGGAAGCAATGGTCTGACGGAGCGATTGAAAAACTTTTTTGTTTCAGCGGTGACCTAGCATTTTTATGGCTTTATTGAAAGGACATGAAATGTCCCTTCTGCTGACATGCGAAGAGTAAAGTGTCGGATAACCTTTGACGCCTCAAGAGGAGGGTTAAACATGGATTGTTGACTGTCTGTTAGAAAGAATTTGACTGGCCGGTTTGCTAGTAGAATCTATACATGCCTGGATGTATGAGGCTACAATGTCACAGTGAAATTTCAAAAGCTAATTTGGTTAAAGTAAGGTTTATGCTCCTTAAATCGTATAATTTCTATGGCATTCTGTCTGTCAGTATGTTACATGTAACGTATGCCACTGCCAGTGGCTGCTGCCAGTGCATGTGTTGGTGCAGTTTTTTGCCTGCCTTAATTGGTTACAGGTGGCAGCTCTCTATTGCAATTTGCAGCCTGTAGGCTTGCGTATGGTAAATGGATGAGTGCTTACCTATTCTGTCTTGCAGATAGTTGTTGCTAACTACGTATGATGGGAGCTTCCATCTTTAATCTGAAGACACTTAAACGTACGCGCCATCTCGTGGCAACTTTCATAACGATCCCAACGAACATTCTGTTTGAGAAGGTTCCTGATACATCCCTGTGCATTCCACTGTGTTCGGGCGTGTATTGTGAACACATTTGGAACTTTGGGACTAACAGGGTTTACTAGAATCCCACCACTCCACCACAGAGTCACCGCAGTAGACGTTAGATGAGCGCTGTCGCTCTGTGGCACTTGTTGTAAACTAAAGCAAGTTTTAAATTTTTTATATAGTTCTGCCAGCAATAGAATCATCCATGCAAGAGACTATGCCTCTATTCAGTTGAACATCTCTGATGTAAGTATTGTGTAGCAATGCACATATGGTTATAAAGATATATAGTTAATCATTAATATGCAATATTCACAAATGTAAATCTCGTTTTTTATAGAAAAAGTAAATTCCCAATGATTGTGTAACTTGTTAACATTCTGATATTTTGATTTTTACTTTGAAAATGCTAACAACAACAAATAATACATTGCTTTTAACCATATTTTAGGTTGACGAAACAACTGGGAGAGTGACTGGTACATACAAAACCTATGCTGTTTGTGGATCAATCAGGCGCATGGTAATTTTTTGTTTTTCTGTCAGTATCATCAAAAGAGTAGTATTTTGTCTCCTCCTAGCCTATGCTGAGATGGGATTGTTGTCGTAGTTGTGGCTAATACATCAATTTCGTCGCACAATTGCTGTTTAGTAAACGCTGCAGGTAAACCTGAATCTGTTTCCTATTGCAAACCATATCACACTGGGTCTGACTATCTTTAGATTTAAGTAAATAGCAGTTCAACGACATGCGTTCAGGTGTTGGTTTAGCTCGTTTTCCACTCGTAAGTCAGCTGGGCTGGATCTGTTTGGCGATGACCACTTTGTGAGAATCGCAGAACGCACTCTGCCGGCCCTGCGTTACACTTGTGGTACATAAAGTGCTAGACATTGTCCGCTGTCCTTGCAAGCCGTTCTGGTCTGCATATCAGTGAACACTGCTTAGTGGTTTCCTGAGAGTTGGCAACAAGTTGTTCTGTACTGGTTGCCTTAGTTGTTGAAACAAACATAGTTGGCAAATAACTGATGGGATTATAAGGGCACGCCTGTAATCCCTGCTTGATTAAATCTGTTGTTCTTTTACAGGGCGAATCTGATGGCTGTATTAACAGATTGGCGAAAAAGGATAACATTTTGTCAAAGTGAGTGCAAGCTTGTACCAAAACATTGTAATTAAACTGCAGTGTGTCATGATTAATCCCATGAGAAAGTCAGCTAGGTTTTCTAACGAGATGAGAACCCTGGCGTTACACTTGTGGAATAACAAATGCTGTCAGTAATTCACTGTGTTGTGAGCTGTTCTGGTCCACATATCAGTGTATGCTGTTCAGTTGCTTCTCCTAGTTTGGCTACCAGCTAATTATTGGGTGCTGGGTGCCATAGCTGTAGAAGTGTACAGATTTTACAGAGGTTATTGTCTTCCTATGAAGAAAGTTGGGAATTCCTATTTATGGTTTATATTTATTAGTGGCAGAGCGTGTAAATGTGACTTAAATGATGCTAATAATAATAATTATTATTATTATATTTGTAATATATTTCAGGAGTTTCCAATGAGTATCTACTGCCTGCCAGGGTTGCAAATATACATCAACTATGACTACTACATCTACAAATACCGAGGGACAGCTTCAATGGTCTTTTCTGTAACAAGGTCTGGTTTCGATCCATGCATTAAAGCTGTGTGATTCATTGGATACAAGTATCTTTTGTTATGTGTGTAGTACTAATACATGTCTAAAAGAATTTAAAATTGCAGTGGTAATATATGGAAACAGTTGCTTTACATACCTTATGAGTTATCCAATGTCATTGGTAAAATAATTTCCTATTAAAAACTCCAATACCATGATTATTAATTAGGCTAAGATATGAACTTTCATACATAAGTCTACATAAAAATAGTGCATTTGCTACAGATAGAATATGGGTTACATTTTACTCCGCTACATTATTAGTGCTCAGTTATTGAATTCTTTTGGGTATTTGGTATAATAAAGAATAAAACAAGCGTGAGCAGTGTGATTTGAAATGGCGATCAACGATTCTGGTTAACACACTATATAAGTGATGTAAGGGTCACGATTATCAACAATGCATATGGCTGCCTCTGATTTGGTGGTAAAGCAACTAATAAGTCGTGTAATTGGCCACTGCATTTGTCAATGCACTCCACTCGATTATATATATGAATATCTGTGAAAGCTTTTACACATCTATAATCACATGGACATCATCATTGGAGAAGCTCAGATATAAGGCATATATGCTTACATAGCAGTGATCTATGATCTAGATATGATCAATTTGTGAACAGACCATGCAGACTTAGCATGTTGTCTTGGGGTTTGTAAAAGCATGTTGGTTTACTGGTGCATGGTTGTGGGGTTTGAACTACTACGATTACATGTGAAAGCAGTACTCTAGATCTTTCTATGCACACGACGTGGCAGTGCGTAATTAACACTGATTGTACACTAACGCTCTCGACGATCGGTCATGGTGATGTCCTAATGTGTTGTCACACCCCCGTGTCCCCTAGAAGAGATTGGCGGAGACGTCGATGACGATGTATGCGAGATGGACGGAGAGCACATTGCCGAAGGGACTTCTTACAGTCATCTGAAGGTGCACTGTGTCCGAGTAGGGGCCCTGTATCGGCCTCAGCAGTCTCAGGCCGCCTGTTTCAATAATTGCGGCTTCAGTACGCGACTTAACTCGTTGCTGTCAAGTTTATAGACGTAGATCAAGAACAGCACAGTAAGGCTACTAGGTGCAAACATTAACCTGACAGAAACGTGTTTTAACCGTTGCCATTACTCGTTTATAATGAGAATGTGATCGTTTACACTAATTAGTGTTGCATAAAATTATTTAATTTTGAGATAAGTTGAAAATAAACCTAAAATACATGCGTATTTATCAATAATACATTACCAGTGTGTCCCGATTGACGTACATCAAACAGGTCTGATTGGTCAGCAATCAAGATCTCATATGTAACCTGTACCGCCTGCATCCCAGACCTGCAAAATACATGAAGTAGGCCATATATATTCTACATTATGGGTTACTTCTAGTACAATCAAACCTGTGAATGTGGTGAACGGATACCTATACACTGAGTGACAGTTATACAGTGAAACCACGTCTATAGAACAGATACCATCTATAAAGGCCACTTGGTTTCCTTTAAATGACCTTTTAATATGCACAGTTTAGACTATAATGTGTACATTGCCAAAGTTTTACTGGAATATTTAGTGAAGATGAGACCTGCAATCTAATAGTATATGGTACTTGGAAGACGAGTGATTGCCGTCGATCAACAGATCTCAGGGGCGTAGCCAGGATTTTCAAAGTTGTAGGCACGACTATCTGAGCGGACCGCCACCATCGGTTTGCGCGGAGCGCACAAGAAAATTTTTGGTTTTACAAACCCCCAGATGGCCGGAAACGGCCCTTCCCGAGTGTTCATTCTGGTTCCCTGGCCTCTTGCTAACTTGAGACACCTCATTCAATATCACTTTTAAACCCAAAAAACAAACGAGTTAAAATAGTGTTACGAACGAGTTAAAATGTTAAAAAACTGACAAGATCGGATCCTAGTCTTTTTCGGCGGGTAGAGTGTTGAATGAAACGGCACGCGATAGAAATGACAGCCTAGATGACAGAAGAATAGGTCACCTAATTTAGCCATATTCTTGCTACGTTCATTTCAATAGTTTTTCCTGTCCTAGACTCTTAAACTCGTCCAGCAAGCTTATGGATTTGAATTATGGGTGTTTTAAAAAAAAAGATAACTTGGCCAAAAAAAGTGTAGGCCCGGGCCTACAGTGGCTACATACTGGCTACGCCCCTGGATCTAGACCCACCAATACCTGACGAGTGCCTGCATGTTGGTGATGACGATGGGCGCCGGTAGCACGGCGATGCTGGGCAGATGGATCCACTGGTACGTGATGGTGTGCGTGAGATTGCCCGAGCAGGCCGTGTCGCGTACCTCGCACGTCTTATGACACAGGTAGCCGTCATCCACCCTGCAACACGGATGACGTAACGTGGTGACGTGTACATGCAAATAGCTCATATATATGTTATACCTCAGGGTTGTGGTGTCTTGTGGGGGGGGGTGTAAGGGCGGGCAGCTTCCCCCTAGATTCTAGAGGAAACTAAAATAAGAGCCTAGTAAATAAATCTAAACTAAGTAAGTCGTCGTGTTTTTATTCGTGTTTTACCTCGTCGCACACAATCAACCACTGCCCACACTTATGTACGCTTACTGGGAGCTGCGCCCCTACCTCGTCATTATTCAGGTGAGTGTCAATGTGTTTTCTCTCCCCCACGTATGACTTTGATCATGTTACGGGACTATACCTCTCATTATCGGCTGTAATTGTGGAATAGTTGGGTCAATGAATGTCGTGCTAGTATGGTATTAGCTGATCGGCTTCCATTGCGGACTGAAGGGTTGCACGGTTGGAGCTAGTCACTAATTTGTTGAGTTCCAGCAAAGAAACTATTAGCTAGTATACATGCACGGCTACGAATAAATGGTATAGAAGCATTGATCCCTAATAGTTTATTGCTCGCTTTTACAGACCTCAGTAAGATCGAAGTGTGATTATGGCAGTTTAAAAAACTGATTTCCCTGTGCGTACACATTTCTTCATGGATGCGCGCATGTGTTCACTGTGTCTTATTATCAAGCATATACGTACTTACAAGAAATTTGCGCGTATATCTTTTGTTGTGAGGTAATTTGATTAGATATTTAATTAAACGGGTAGCATATTCAAAATCAATTATAACATTTTATTTATATAAGATGCGGTCATTATCTAAATACAGCAGCTAAGAAAAAAACGACGCGCATATAACTACATTCGGATTCATTTTAGTTGTGAATTTGTCATCGCAGACACATGATGGTTAATCATGATGCTAACAGTAAAATATTGATTTTGGAATGGAATGTGATAGAAACACTAAACGATTGAAAGTAATTTCAATGGTAAAAAGTAATATTTTGGCGCGAGCAAGCCACATATTCGTAACACGATAGAAAGCGAAAAAGTTTGTGCGCACGTGTATGAGTGAGTAGGACTTAGGACGTGATTACAGTATGCAGATCTACATGTAACTGCATGTGGGTGTTTATATGTATATTAAAACATTTAATTGGCACCCGTTTAGATTACAACACGTGCTAGATCTTATCAGAGTTTTTAGAAGACAACTGTGATGTCATTTCTCTACATATATTGAAAATATCATATATATATATATATATAATTATATTTGCGGAATTCCTAGATGCATATACATCACCAGTGGCGGATCCAGAAATCTAAGGGGGCGCGTCCCCCTTAGAATTTGCAGGGCAAGGGTATTTTAGCCTTTGTACATCCTCCCCCTTTGAGCTCGCATGATTCGCCCCCCCCTAGAATTCTGATTTTACTTCTGGATACGCCACTGATCACATTGTCGGCATACAGATCTGTTCCCGCCTTCACATGTTGGATGCTATTATAGTGCTATTATATTGTTAGTTTGAAAGATAGAGCATCACCGATCTTCTAGATAGTTTGCAGTGATATAATAAGACGTAAGACGTGTTTTTATAATGCACTTCTGTTTATATCTCTTGGCGTTCATTCGACTACGCTTCTCTGTGATATACATTAACATCGCGTCCCAGCAATCGGCCCGCCCCCACCCCACCCACTTCTCTCGCTCCCCAGCGCTCACTATGTCTCTGACGCTAACTCGTTAAATTCCGCACGCTGCGCCGCATGTAGCAATACAAACTACAGGGTTATGAAAATCTACGATTCAACCCTTGCGATTGAACTCAAACGGTCGCGTGTCTTCTCTGGCGAGATTGATAGCACCATGGCTATCTATACATGCATCATAGGATTGGTGTTTATTGGTACCAATGCCCGGACCGTTTTAGCCAATGGCGACCGCGCTCGGACGTCCCCGGTGGCGCCATCTGTCAGCAGTCTAGAAGTCGTGCGGACTGACGTAGATGTAGATCTTTGCCACGGCTACGCCGGCGTACTGTCCGTTTGAGAATATCTTCATCTTGAGGCTGAGCTCGACCTCCTGCGGGCCCTTGAGTGGCTCCATGAGCGCTATGATCGCCTGGTTGGCGCCGACGCGCTTCAACCGGAAGCTTTCCTGCGTCGCGGCGACTATGCTCTGCGGCACGCGCGCGTTCACCATCTCCATCTCAAAGCGCAGCGTCGTCGTCGACCAGAGGGCGCCACGCATCGTGAAGAAGTCGAGGCCGCCGGGCCGGATGTGCATGTTCGACTGGAAGGCCAGGTGATTATAGCTGACGGCGAGCGGCCGGTTGATGCACGCCTGATCTCCCTGCTGGCAGACGACCGACTCTCGCGTGCAGCGACTGCGGGAAGAGGAAAACCAAGAAATCTGCATGCGAGCGAAACCGACTGCTAAATATAGTCGATACGGTATAATAGTCAAGTGGTGGAGACGATTTTAACAATCGTACGAGTGTACAACGTCGGAAAGAATTTGTCGCTTTTGATAAAAACAATTATTATGAAAATTTATTTGAATGGAGGGTATCCGAAAGTAAAGAGTTAGCAATGCAAATTTCTTATTTCCTACTTCTCCAGAAAGCGAGCAATATCTGGCCTAAATACGATCTATGTGTATACAGATACACTGCAAATTTTACATGTGTTTTCGCCGTACATCGGTAAAGGTGACCACCGTGTATATACTGGTATATCTGCATGCTGTGAAGTCCGGGCTGGAATTCGCAGAGGAACCCCAAACACCTCTGCTGCAAGCCTTAACAACAGCAAGGCCCCTAATATCTAACGTAGCTTCCACCAGGCATGAGATCTATTCCCGGGAATCGCGTATAATTATTCACTTATTTTCGACCAAAACGGCTAACTTGGATAGAAAAAAAACCAACAGACGCTTCTGTCAGGTCAACCAGGCAGTGGCTAAAGTGTAAGTGCAGCGTAGCTGGGGGTGGGTTAACACACTAACTATATAGCAGGGGTTAAAGCCGTGGCTGTGTGGCACACACAAAAAAGTAAAACTGGAAAGTAGCTAGTAGTTGTCAATATTTTGTTCGATATTGGCACTAAAAGATAAAAGAATGCTTTCAGGTACATTGTGAGTACAAAGCAATTGACGGTAATTAGCTTCTGTAATTAACCCTTCGTGTAATCAGGAGGCCCTCACTGGCTATTTTCTCGGCGGGGACGCCCTCGCCTAATGAACCATAGCGCTGACTGCGCTGCTTCAATAGCCTAAGAACTTACTTATTCTGGTCGGGATCTTTGACGTAGTTCTGCGGACAAGTGATGGTTATACATTTCTTGTCTCCCCTGGTGTTCAGGCAGAGTTCGTCCAGCTGGCATGGGTTCGTCTCGCATTCGTCGTTATCTGAAACGGCGGAGGAATCAAAGAAGCAAGAAGTAAACTATCATCAAGGACCGCGTACACTTGTATAGGTATTGATGTAACTATATCTCACTTGAACTATACTATATTGTTCTATATATTCTATACACTGTACCTCACAATTATATTGTACACTTAACATCCCGTGGGATTTACGCACATTTGCTGACGTACACCATTGGCGTGCGCACGTTTAGTTACACTGACGTATATAATCGCTTCTCACTCACTCTGACATAAACAATAAAACCTATGCTAGTGTAAACCGCTATAGAACGAATACCCGTCTATAAAGCACAAATTTCGTGCCTCCACCGAGTGTGTGGCAGATAGACGGACAGCTACATGACTATAAGGCCCACTTTAGTGATTTATTTTGAGTGGCCGTACAGTGTTGACCCGTGGTCACTCACCTTGGCACGTGCGCCCGTCAGTGCTTAGTGTGTAGCCTTGCGGGCAGGTGCACGCGTAGGAGCCGGGTGTGTTCTCACAGTAGCCTATGCACAAACTGCCTCGGCCTGACCACAGTGAGCACTCGTCGATGTCGCGACATGTTCGCTTGTCCTCGGCCAGCTGTCGGTAATAATAATTATCTCTTTTTCGTTATTTTAATTACTTTCCAATGTTTTTTTTTCATTTTTAAACCATATTAATTATTTTTTATTAATTATTCTATCTATTATTTGGTTTATTTAAACAAGAGATTAATATCTGGTTCGTGTGCAGGCGATTTAACACGGGTCCCGTGAACTATTTTTACATAAGGCTATAACCTTTTCCCACTGATTCGGATATGCTGTGAATACCTGGTAGCCACTATCACAGTGACACTGGTAGGATCCCCACGTGTTGAGACACTGCTGATGGCAGATAGTCGTTGACTCCTCGCATTCATTGATATCTGTATTGAAAATTAATTTTGCGTCGATAAATAGTAAATAAATCAGTCTATGAATCCTGAAATCCCAGTCAGTCCCGAATGTGAAAACTGATTTCCACTATGTAACCTATAGAGAAATCTATAAAAAAAAATGGCCAGCCAACCCTGCCCAAAGGTTATCAGCTTAGGAGTGGGGGAACAGGCTTCTATTTCTAACACTGTAATCAGTATTTCAATATTCCATCAATCAACCAATCAAATAATCAATCAATCTATCATTCAATCATTCAATTCATATTAGGAAGATAATCATGGCTAGAGTCAATCACGCCTCACTGGTGAAAATGCGTTTTCTGATGAAGAACTAAGCTATCTGTGAGGACGTGCAAGGATAACGACAATACTTGGCGACGAAATACCGCAAAGGCGACAATTTGACATGCACGTGTGAAAAACGCGTGTAAACTAGTCTATAGCTTTACAGACCTAGCAATAATATACGCGAAGTCGCGGTTAACTTGCTCATAAGGGTAGGTCGATTTCCAACGGCCACGGGTACGGGAGATTGCGTTGCTCTGACACATTCCTTATATTTTCATTCTATGACCAGTCCAGTCATACAATTCCTTATACCATCTTTCGTGATTACCTCTTTCTACAGTTCTGCTTCATGCTGAATTCTTACACATAACCCGTTATCTTGTAGCAACACCACCCTATACCTCTGCATATCTTTCCAGTTTCGTCGGCACGGAATCCGTCGTGGCATTCACATGTGTAGGATCCAGGCGTGTTGATGCAGTCCGCGGTGCGAGAGCAGATATAGGAGCCATAGCGCTCACACTCATTGATGTCTGCGTTAAAAAACGGATGCATGGTTCATGCTAACATGGTTCCACACGTACACGCACGCGCGCACGCTCGTATGAACGCACGCACGTACGTACACACACGCGCACGCTCGACCGGACGCACGCACGTACGTACACACACGCGCACGCTCGTACGAACGCACGCACGTACGTACACACACGCGCACGCTCGTACGAACGTACGCACGTACGTACACATACGCGCACGCTCGTACGAACGCACGCACGTGCGTACACACACGCGCACGCTCGTACGAACGCACGCACGTACGTACACACACGCGCACGCTCGTACGAACGCACGCACGCACGTACGTACACACACGCGCACGCTCGACCAGACGCATGCACAGAAGATCGAGACTAGGATTGACTATCAAAGACAGATTCCCATGTAGCGTATGATTACCAGCAGTACTAGGAAATCATCAAGTCGGAACAAAAAATATTCCTGAACGCATACATCAAGACTCTAACGAATAAAATATGCTCCTCATAAAAAATAATACGCTAGATAGGCTTTATGCTGGATGCCAATATATACAATGTCTGTGGAGAGATTCGATACTTCCATGCGGAATTTAAATGTCACTACTACAAAGAGTAAGATAATTATAATAATAAGAATTATACTAGGGACGATAAGAGGATAAGGGACATTAAGAACATAATGTAAAATCATGATGAACATTTTTTATAATTCGCTTCTGTCACTACACCGAATAACATATAACCAGCAGTCGACAGGGCGTGCATGAGGAGTAGGGATAGTACCTTCGCATATCTTGATGATGCCGTTGTAGATGTAGCCCGTCTCGCACTGGCAGGTGTAGCCTCCGGGTCGATTCCGACAGATCTGCCCGCCGCGACACTCGTGGGTCCCTGTTGTACACTCGTCCAAGTCTGCCAAGTAGTCAAGATGAATGAGCGCTGAGTGAAGTATGTACCGCAGATTTTTAAGTTTCTATCGTGTGTTATATATATGATGGAGGTTGAGATTACGTGTGCGTACGCAAGTGTAGGTATGCGCGCGCGCGCGCGTGTGTGTGTGTGTGTGTGTGTGTGTGTGTGTGTGTGTGTGTGTGTGTGTGTGTGTGTGTGCGTGCGTGCGTGCGTGCG